GGACCCCATTTCTGCCCTTGTTGCTCAGCTGTGTAAAGTCAGCAATTTGCCAACTTCTACCTCAGGGTCTCTATCTTGAAAGCAGAGATAATTGTTCCTTCTCTGTAATGTTATTAAATGTGCATATATATGTGTGTATATGTGTATACACATATATGATACACACACATAATATACGCTTACACAATTTCTCGTGAGGAAAGGACCCTGTATATTTCCGTTGTTTTTATTATGTATGGGAATGCAACTGTGATTCATAACAGAATTGAAAACATCTGCTAAAGTATTTACAGTTTTGCATTTGTGTCAGTAGTTGAAGTAGCAATCACATTGTTGAGATTATATCCATTAAATATAGGTTTTGTTTTTCATGTACTGATATTGGCTAGATATTAGAGTAATATGGCACAGTTTCCTATGTTTCAGATTCTTTTCTTTTTCTTTTTATATGCATATTTTTGGATTCTTGTTATCTTTATGTTCCCCATAATCTATTTTAATATAATCACTTGGCATCTAAACGTGAGAGTCGAGTTGATGAACTCAACTCGGCTTAGAGCAGCCCAAAGCTTTAGTCGATGATCTTCCCTTAAGCCTTTAGTCCAGGCGAGGATTTATGAACCACATTTTGTCTTTTTCAAGAGCAAATGCAACACTTGTCCTAAAAGAAGATAGTGCAATACCATACTGAAATGTATTATGGCCCTATTTTCTAAAGATATGATACTTTCTTTTATTTTTGTATCTGTTCAAAACAATTTTTGGAGAAATACTTTGATTTACTGGAGAGCTGCACAAATGAAGAAAGTCTAAAAGCCTTGTGAATTTGGTGAAAATCTTAGAAACTTCCTTGGAACTTTTTATAGAAGAGTGAAATCAAGTCAGTAAGGACTATCTTCAATGACTTTTCTGGTTACACACAACATAAATGATTCGCATTTGGCTTAAAGTCCAGTTCTTGGTTATCATTGGTTTGTATGCTAATGAAATTAAGCAATACTGGCCTCATTCCTTTACTCCAAGCCCAATGTCAGACATTGCTAATTAATCATGGTTTTCTTTTCTGTTGAAACTGATGGAAACCCCTGTGTCTTTCAACCTGATTCTCCAGGAAACAATTGCCTTTTGATTCGGCTGGGAATTTGATATAAGAGTTTTTTGTGATATTTGCTGCATGTTTTTATGTATCTATGGTTTTCATTTACCATAAAAGTACAACTACATGTATTTGTGCATTTTGTGACTGAAAACTATTTTGTCATCCTAAGATAAAAATGTGTTTGTTATTATACCAAGATATGTTAAAACAGATTCAGGTACATAAGGATACTGATTCAGGTAGATAAGGATACTAATTCAAGTAGGTAAAAATAAATAATCTTTATCATCAGGCAAAATTAAGGGAAGTAATTTGTACCACCCCAATATGCTATTGTACCACTCCACTGGCTATTCAAATACTCTTATGCTAAGGACATAGGACTCATAGAGAATGGATGGCCACAGAGTCCATGAAGGAACTCAACTCAGAGGGATCTGATTAAATAAAGGAGGAACAATATATCCCTTTATTTGGGTAGCCACCAAGTGCTGTTACTGACCTTGTGATGCAGAGGACCACCACACAGATGACAGCAATCTGAATCGTTCCAATCACAGCTGCGATTAAGACATACTGAAATCGTACAGGACCAGGAACAACGTATAGAACACTGTAGTCCTTTTTTTCACAGTGTTGTCCAGTATAACCAGCATCACACCTGGAAGAAATTATAGTGCCCAGTTACCTGTAGCTGCTGTCTTCATTTTTATAGTTGATTGATAGGCATTTATTTTCATCACAAAATTAGGGCTTTTTGTGTCCCTTTCTAAATAAATATTACTTTGTGGTTATGGCTCACAACTACTTATTTTCAATAAGATGTCTTTGTGTTTCTCAGTTATAAGATATGTGGTTTCTTTTTACATTTATGATAGTAATTTCAAAGGTAGGAGGATTACTCGATAATTTGTTTTTGGTGACAATATAGAGAGATAATACATGTCCAAGAAGGACTGTTATTTCTATATTTTCTGAAAGGTGAGCTTTACATGTTATTTAATTTGCTCTTTAATCAACCTAAGTCAACATGTTTACTTGAAAAAGTATTTGTTTCTGATGACATGGGTATAAAAATTAGTCTGTTTGTTTTGGATGAAACATTCTCTATGCTATTGTCAGAATAAATGTTGAGAAATACTAGGATCAGAGTTACAGGATGAGTCATTAGTTTTCTGGTCAAAAAATCATCTGCTGATGATAGAGTCAAATTTTGTTAGAAAAAAGTAAGTATGGTGTAGGCAATATAGTTCTGCAAAACAAGACGAGGTAGTGTTCATCTGAGAATGAATGTTGCCTCTCCCACTCAACCCTCATGGAAAGCTCAGGTAGACAATCTACATATGAAAATTAGCATGTGTCTATTAAATGAGAAAATAGCTCATAAGAAAACAATACTTAAAGGGGATCTACATGTCATTGATTTTGTGGAAGTATTCTATTACTTCACTTTGAATTTCTTATAACTACATCCTGAGAATTTTTTTCTCTCCATCAGGAAGGGTTTAATAATAATGACACTGCTGGGGAGTGAGCGGGTAGCAGGAGTAACTTCTCAGTTTTGTTCACTCTGCCTGACTTCAGTTGAAGGCCTGTGCTAGTATATTTTGTGGAGGGAAAACATGAAAGGAAGACAGCTCTAGGTGGAGGGGTGGAGAAAGGGAGGAAGAGTGGGAGGGGGAGAGACAGAGAGAGAAACTTTCTGTTGTAAATGAAAATACAACCTATTTCATCATATGTCACTTGTACTTAATGTAAATAAAAATAAAAATAAATCATGTTTTCATTTTGGCTTTGCCATCTCTGAAATAATTATATTTTAGACATGAATACACAGGAGGTATTTAAATAAATATATATTTGTACATATGTAAGAGATGGGGTCTTGCTTGGTTGCCTAGGCTGGAGTGTAGTGGTGTGACCATAGCTCACTGCAGGCTTGAACTCCTGGGCTCAAGGGATCATCCCATCTCAGCTCTCAAGTAGCTCCTGGGACTACAGGTGCATGCAACCCTGAATGGCTAATTTTTAATTTTTTTATTTAAAATTTTTTTTTTTTAGGGATAGGATCTTCCTTTGTTGCCCAGGCTAGTCTTAAACTCCTGGCTTCAAGTGATCTTCTCACCTCGGCTTCCCAAAGTGTGGGATTACAGGTGTGAGCCATCATGCCTGGCCAGTATTTATATTCATAAACTAAATCCAGATAGGCAATTTCTTTGTGTCTCTACTGAGTTTGAAACTGTGGAGGTATAGCTAATGATTTCACTTTGCAAGGCCCCATGGGAGAGCAGCTCTATAGAAAATAGTGAATGCCTGGCAAAACAAGGATTGATGATATTTATGAGAAGACCTGAAGGACTTAGGAAGAGATGAACTCTGAGAAGCAACTATGCTATCTAAAATACATGAGGCTTCATCCATTCATTTGTCTGATAAATACTTACTGAGCACATGATATATGCCAAGTACTATTCTGTGTTCAGGAGAAAGAGAGGTAATACAGAGGAACTGGTACCTTTAAGGAGCTTATAATGCACAAAGTACAATTTCAAATTCTACTAGAAGAGTTTAGTACTGTGTTATATAGTGTGTAAGGTGCACACATATATATTTTTTAGTGTGTATGTGTGTGTGTATACATGCACAGGAGAAGCAGAGAAAAGTTTTGTTGCTGATCACCCATTCAAGAAGAATGTCGACCAATTTTCTATAAACATCACAATTTAGTTTCTCATATTAACTTTATACATTAACTATGCTTATGAGTAAAAACGTTACCTGCAAGACGGCTCCTGCATATTGATAGAATGCTCACACTTCCCATGCATGCAGAAGCCATTGTAATGTTCCGGACAAGGTATGTGGTGTTCTCTGGCACTTTCTTCTAATTTGTTAGCATTCTCTGTGAATACAGATAAAAGCAAGCACCCCCTGTAAATACTTTTTTAGCCTGGTAAGATCAACCAGTACATTAAGAAGCAAAGCTATGGTAGGCAAAGATTTTAAAACGGCAAGAACTAAAGGGCTATGCTTCAGAAATAAGAGGAAGAAAGAACTGAAAGACAGACATCTTTACAATTGTGTTTAGAGATGAAATTTGCAAAATTACCCAGTGCTTTTTATGCTTTTATGCAATTTCCTACGTCTTTAACAGCTAGTGGTGTTTCTAGGACTTGTCAGACAGCTTTAATTTTCCTCGCATAGGGACTGTACATTGATCATGAAATACTCCAAGAAGAAATATCCTATTTTTTAAATTTCAAAGCCCAGCATAATGTCCTTAAGAGTAAATTGCTGTAATACCTTGATACTTTCACAACAAGAGAGCTTAAAAGTTAAAATATGGCCGTGTTCAATTGTTAAACACACGTTTTTCAAACCGAATGCAAATTTCAACAAATGTATTCTTTGAGGCTTTTAAAATCTACTGCAAACATGATTTTCACTAGCATCCATACATTTTTTTTGTTGTCAAAATAAACCTATTGAACAAGAAAACGTCATTTCAAAATAACTTATGTAGATATTCACATAGTAGACACTGAATACTATAAATATATTTAAATGCATATTTGGCCTATATTAACAATGCTATATGAAACCTAAACTCATGATAAAGAATAAACACTAAAATGAACACTTTTGCGTGCCATTACAACATGTTCTACTTGTTTTGCCATGTTTTCGTAGGTATTTGAATTTTTTTGACCTTTGTTAGTCCTAATACATTTGCTTCATATTTGTAACGTCATCTTTAAGTGTCTTTTGAGTCTTAATATGTTCATTTCATGATAAAACTTTTGCCTTGAGCTTTCACTAAATCTGAAATATGACATTCTTGAAAATTTCTGCCCAAACACATGAGAAATATAGATTTTATGAACTCAATCTGAAGACATTCTTCAATCTGAAGGTACTCTTCAACACCCTAGTAATTAGTCAGCAGGAATGGAAAATGGCAAGTGAATTCCTTTTTTATGAAATGGGTTATTTCCATATAAGGGTTTTTATTATTGGCAGTCATGGATGATAAGCATATTCATCGGGAGAAAAAACATGCCTCTGGTATTAATGAATCAGACAAATGTATTATTTATGATTAAGCAGAGCTGCAAAATATCTATACATCTTTAAGATCCAGATGCCATCTGCAAAACATTAAAGTCTGAAAAAAGTTGTAAAATATGTATAGTCTTTTCTTGTGTAGAGATATTTATATGCATCATTATGATGGGCAATATTTTATGTTACACACCCAAATTTGTAAGGGGTTTACCATCAGTATACTAGAGAGCCTGTAGATGACATTTAAATCATTAGTTTGTTTCTTATCTGTGTCTCTTTAGCTAGGATGGTTGGTGATTTTTTTTGTTTGTTTGAATTACAGTATTTCCACATTGATAACTGCTATTAAACTGAACAAACTACTTCCATGGAGAAAACTAAGAATGTATAGAACTTTTTTGGTTTCTTCCCTCTTCTTTGAAGTTACTTTGGAATTTTGTGGTATGATGTTTTTGGTAGCAAGTGCAGCTGCAGTAAGCAAATACACCAAAATTAAAGTGGTGGTGTTGGGTGAAATTTCCCACATGGGAACATGTGACTAAAATGGAAGCAGGGCAATTTGTGAACCCATGGAGGAGGCTGTGTTCATTCTGTGCCAGGGCCGGGGGCTACACACCATAGCGCTCAAACCATGCACCTGCGGTTTAAAGGAGACGTTAGCAGTGGGGTTTGCCAGTCATACTGCCGGTGTAATGAACCAGCTCTGATTTTCACTTTTATTTCTGGACCTTCTTCCCATAACAAACTATTTGACACTTCTATTTAGGGTTCATTAGTAACCCCTCAGTGCTTCTGAACACCTGCATGCAGGGAAATTTTCTGTGAGTTCCCTAAATTTCAGTTATACACTGTCTTTTGAGCTATAGTATTTTTCAAACACATCTTATTAGGACTATTTTTCTTTCTGTCAGTTACAAAAGAATATCAAGAATTTTTAAAAGTGAAAATCCAGTTTTTAGTCTATTTTATTTTTAACACTGTACCTCACCCCATACTGACAGTTTGTTTCTGGATTCGTGCCATATTCACAATTATGAACTGAAGTATAAGGGAAAAACAAGAGCTTGTTTGAATGAGGTTGTTGCCTTAGTGTGGTAAGACATGGATATTTTCACAGAGTTCATTATCCAGCCAGGGTGATCACATGGGCAGGGAATAGTTTCCATCGTAAAATCTGGTAACCAGTTTACACTATTCCTTATGAGCTTGGAATGCTCTGTTATGCTGCTCATAGGATACTGTCAAATAAGAAAGCAGAGAGACTGAAAATAAATGAGTAGAAGAAATGATCTCTGGGCAAGAAAATGAGGAATCATCAATATATGTCAACAAATTTATAGTCAATCCAAACAAGTAAATCAGTTGATTGAAAACCTGAATATATAACCACTGCTAGTAATGGAATAGACATATTTTAGACATGAGATTTTAGTATATTAAGAAGAGTAGAAACACAGAAATCTAATATCCAAACAAACATGTATATGAACCATAGTGTTTGTGATCTTAATGTTTATGTATAGTAGGTATTAAGCAATAACAAAGCATTAAACATTTTAAATTATATAAAAATTATATGTATATCGGGAAGTCTGCATGTTTCCTTCAGTAGCTTATGATTTAGACATTGATTTCTCTGTCCTCCATTTAAAAAAAGAGGTTTAATGTAAGGGTTGTGCTCTTTCTTCTAAAACAGATAAGAGGCTGTGGTAGAAACTCTTCATGTCTCTGTTTAAAATCCTCAACTAGTTTCCTGTTTACATGTTTATAAATGGTTTGTTCTAGAGAGTTCCTGACCTTTTGAAGAACAATTTCTGATATAATCTGAGTTGTTTGCAGCAGAGCTAATAGGTCTCATGCCCATTGCTAGTCAACACTTCGGTCAAGAGCTATTGAAGTGGGCTGTTCTATAGTACAGCTACACATATTGTTTCTACCCTGGTGCTTGCAAGGAAAGAAACAGGGAAAGCTAAAGAGACAGAGAATGGCAAATGGTGAGGCCTTACCTTACTGCAAGTCAAGTAAGGTTAAGTGGGTAGAAAGGGGGCAAAGTCAGATTTAGCAGTTCAGACTTAAATCAATACAGTCCAGTATGTACATGCGTGTGTGTGTATGTGTTTACCATTGCCCCTGTATTCCTTTCCCTAAAAAGCTGAAAATAAGATGTTGTTTAGATAATTAATTTATCAAAAGAACACATTATGGATCAAAGCAGAAATATTACAGTGTAAAATTTGACTAAATCCATATTTCTATAAAAAAGAATGTTTCCCTTTGGACAAAGATTAAAGGTTGGCCAAAGAAGTTCTGAAAGTTAAGTTGTATTTTCTATCCAAGTGCTTTCCAAGTTGGTGTGTTTTTGTTTTTTATTTTGATGGTCTTACTCTATTACCCAGGATAGAATGTAGTGGCGTGATTTTGGCTCACTGCAACTTCCACCTCCTGGGCTCAAGTGATTCTTGTGTCTCTGCCTTCCTATTAGGTGGGACTATAGGCATGTGCCATTACCCTGGCTAACTTTTTGTATTTTTTAGTAGAGATGGGGGTTTTCCATGTTGGCCAGGCTGATCTTGAAGTCCTGGCCTCAAGTAATCCACCTGTCTCAGCCTCCCAAAGTGCTGGGATTACAGCCGTGAGTCACTGCAACCACCCAAGTTGGTGTGTTTTAAAAAACCAACCTGAACTAGCAAACCCAGAGTCCCAGGTGCAGAGACAGATGCACCAGGTTATTAGTTTCTGATGCTATTAAATATTTAGTCAGTTAACCCATTTCTCTTGTTCTGATGCTCTACTGCCTAGTCATTCTTAAAATAATTTGACTTCTATGTAGCCTTCACATTGGAATGGCTTTGACAAAACAACATGAATATCTTACTCATTTAACAGTTACATATTTCAATTGAGAGAAGTGACTAGTTCCGAATTTCTGTTTATTTTTTGACGGGGTTACATGTTAACTTTCTTCAGTCCACTCAATTCTGAAGTTTTATAAGGTCAAACTTCTGTTGTACAGACCAGAGAACTAGACCCTACCCATTGTTCACTACAGTCTGCAAGGCCTTTGGGGGCTGGGTGAATGATATTTCTCTGGTAATGCCCTACTTTAATTAGGACTTTATTTCAAATGTAATCAAATTCCTAGGCCACTGATTCATCCAGAAGAGTCTGATTCTGTGTAAGCATTTCCGAGTAAATTGAAAAGATCCTAAACTGGAGGAAACATCAGGAATTTAGTGGATGTTTTAGGGGGGCAGATCTCCACTGCATATTTTTAAACAACTAGAGCTGTTCAATAGGAGAATGAGTTCTATTGTAAAGTAGTGGGCTTCCGGTGGTATTGAAAGGAGCTGTGTGGCCCTTTCTCAGGAATGTTGTAGACTGTTAATGTATATTGATTAGATTATTTTGGAACTCTAAGTTCATTGAATTCTGAAAGTAATATTTATTTCTATTGCTAAAATTTACTTATGATTAATCATGAATATTTACTAACATTTATTATAAAATATTATTTTGATATGCTAGGAGAAAGATGTCGAGAAATAGAGATATTATTTATATATGTTAAACAAAATAAATTACTTTTGCCTTAATTATGGAACATGTTACCTTTTGAAAGGGTATAAAATATCTTGCATTTTGACTATGTCGGTAATTCAGACATTCTAGCAGAGAGAACCTTTACTATGTAATGTATTGCCTTTCTTTTGTTTAGTGGACCTCAATTCAATTTTTAAAATCATGCTTTAACATCCCATATGATCTTGACATGCACAAGCATGTGAGTATTACAGTTTGATTTATTATCTTTTCAACTATCTTTTGCTGTTGGCCCAC